ATCTGGTAATTATTATCTTCAAACATAAACACAGTTGTACATGTTCTGTTTTACGATGGTGGGCCTAGCTAAAAAAGAGGAAAATATCAAGCCTGTAATGCCAGCACTTTGGGAGGCTGAGGCGGGCGGATCATGAGTCAAGAGATCGAGACTATCCTGGCCATTGTGGTGAAACCTTGTCTCTACTAAACATACAAAAATTAGCTGGGCATGGTGGCGTACACCTGTAGTCCCAGCTACTCAGGAGGCTAGGGCAGGAGAATTGCTTGAAACTGGGATGCAGAGGTTGCAGTGAGCTGAGATTGTGCCACTGCACTCCAGCCTGGCGACAGAGCAAGACTCTGTCTCAAAAAAAAAGTAAATAAATAAAACAGTTTCAACCATAGGATCATTGACTATAAACCAGAGGGACCCCATGAAAAGTAAAGGCACAGAACTAACCCGGGTCTTCTGAAGCTGTCATATTGTCACTGAGTAATGCCTGAAACGAATATTTCCTTCTTATCTCCAGACCACTCTAATCACTTAGACTTAACCCTGAAGGATGGAGTAAGGAATGGCAGAAGTGTGAGGGTAAATATCAGAAATGGGATTAGAGTGTCATCCATACAATATTTGTTAATGGAAAAAATCTAGACAAGTCATGCCTTATTTTTAGGATCACGAAATAGTTGGAAATGTCCAAGAATTTCTGGCATCAAAAGGGCATCTTTCAAAATGTCATGTACTTCGGAGTCTGTCTTTTGCTCTTTACTTCACAGTCTTCCTTATAAGCCTCAAGAGCCACAGTTGGCTGAGTTTGAGTCAGGTGAACACTACAGCCTTTTGATGCCCTCTGCAGCCCTCCACCATAGCCTCCTCTGTCATGCCAGTGACCATATGATACATCTAACCTGAAAGCCAGTGTCCTCCACTTATTGGTACTTTTTATTGGTACTCCACTTACTGGTATCTGTATCCAAATTAATTACTAGTGCATGCCTCATCTTTCTGTAAATCTCCTATTAGGTTGCAGGCCAGTGGCTTTCACACTTGCTTTATGGAGCTCAAGGGGTTCCAAAGGAGATGCCTGTGGGGAGGCCCATGCCTGGATGTCTCTGGGATCTTCACCCCTATTTTACCCCAACTTCAACCAGAGTAATTATACTTAGGTAACATATTATCCTCTAGTATTCATCTGGTAAAATGATACCTCTGCTTAAATAAAAACACACTGGGAAACCGCAGATAAAAGTTGTAGGATTTGCTCTGACAAAGACAGCCTAGAGCTGGAAGTGATGGATGGGCATCCTGTGTGAGGAATTACTGGCTAAGCCAGTAGTAGTTAGAAGTACAGGTTTGAAACTGAACTATGAGGCATGCAAAGTTTGTATTTCCCATTGGCTATAGACTGGAAACCAGATAATCATGGTGGTATGTAAAGGCTGGTAATGCTTAGATTGAAGGTTTGAGTGACAGGCTGTTCTAGTTGAGGGGATGCATTTTAAGTCATAAGCTTTATGACAATTTTTGTCAGTAGTAAGCATGTTTGCTAGAAAGCAAAGTTGTAGGTCAATGAATTGTTGCTGTGTTTATATTAACACTGTATGTACTTGGATTAGAAAGTTGACATCAGCTCACTTACTCTTGGAGATGTATTGCCCACAAACTCAAGGATTTGTAGGAGTTTAGGGGCTCTATTTTTTTTGTTGTTGTTTGAGATGAGTCTCACACTGTCAGCCAGGCTGTAGCGCAGTGGTGCGATCTCGGCTTACTGCAATCTCCACCTCCTGGACACAAGCAATTCTCC